TTTAAAACAAACAAAAAAACAACATTCCTTTACTGTAAAAAAAGACAATAAAAACAAAGTTTAAAACCATAACCATCACACTACATCTTACCTGTATCACTGAAATCTATGAATTCTTTTGAGAGAAGGTTAGTAAGAAGTTCCATAATGAGAAGCAGGTCTTGGTATTGCTCTTCCTCTGCTGTAACATCTATTCTTTGCCGCCCTAAATTATTCTTAGAATATACTTGCAGCAAAGTAAGGCAGGCTTCATATAGGTTCATTGCTTTGGACTGTAAAAGAACGTGCATAAATTACACTACTAAATAGAACTTAGTTGGGAAAAAATATAAACCCTAAAATAGAAATTTAAAATTATAATCTATAATCTAATAAGTTTACTCTGAGTCCCAACAGGTCAAATACTTGTTTTAAGCTACTATAAAACATTAAAGAAAAATGAAAAACCATATATTAAAGATTGCAGTTACATTTTAAAAATTAGCAGTTTCCTTTTTTTTAAAATATATTTTTTAAAATTTTTATTTATTTATGATAGTCACACAGATAGAGAGAGAAGCAGAGACACAGGCAGAGGGAGAAGCAGGCTCCATGTAGGAGCCCGACGTGGGACTCGATCCCGGGTCTCCAGGATCATGCCCTGGGCTGCAGGCGGTACTAAACCACTGCGCCACCGAGGCTGCCCAAAAATTAGCAGTTTCCTAACAAAATTTGACAAACACTTTTTGTTCATTTGGTAATTAATACACACTAGAGAGATAAGATTTTGGCAACAGAAATGTTTTACTTCTGCTGTTTATTAACTTCTTGTATAACATTTATTGTTTCAAAATTTAACACTGTTTAATTTGCAAAAATAAAAGCACAGAGTACCAAACAGTCGTCTTAAACATCAGAATAAATGGCAATAGCTCGCCTTCTCAGTTATGCATCTGTGATTACATTTGTAATATTTAAAAAATAAAACCTTACTTTTGAGCAGGTACCTCTGATCTAACAAAAAATTACAAATCAGGAACCAATATGAAATGGTTCAAAACAAGATTTAAGTTAATCTGTAGGCAATTACAATTATATTTTTTAAAGCAGTTTTAAAAAAGCTAAGTAATTTCTAAATAGGATTAAATATGCACTTTGCATCCTGATTGTAAAAGAATTCAGTGTCTAAATATCCATCTGATTTATAAAGCAAAGATACAAACTGCCATTTAAAATTTTAAGCCTTATAGTTTCAAGAGACAGAAGTTGATTACATTTTTCTACCATCTGTCTTATCAAACATTCCTCATTTGGATGAATTTGAATAACATTATATCTCAAAAAATTACTGATTACTAACAGTATTAGGCCAAGAATTTATATTCCTTCAATAAGCCTTCCTCTGAATTCTGAGTTCTTCTGAAAAGTTCTGAAGTCTTTTTGGAAACTCTTCTGGAGGCACAAAAGTATTATTTCAGATAATAATCATTAAATTTAAAGTAAAGTATCTGTTATTTTGTTGTACTTTAAGGAGTTCTAATCCTAAAGGGATAAAATTAGAAAATGCTTACCTCTCCAAGATAGCATATCTGTTTATGTGCAACTTCAACAAAAACTTCTATTATGAGATTGACAGTTTCTGGGGTATTTTTGTAAACTTCCATCAATCCAATACAATTGGTAAGGAAGTCCATCAAAAAATTAAAAAGAATTGCTACATTGTCAATCTGGGTAGCCTCAGCAATGCCACACAGGGCCTCCAGTGTGGCAGTGATTTCCTGTTTGACTTCCTCTTGCTGACACATCTGCTGGAAGTTTTCTTGATTTATCACTCTTAAGAATCGCTGCTGAAGTGGCTGAAGAACCTATCAAAGTAAAGCATAAATTTTCTAAAAATTCAATTCACATGCTTCATTTATTTCAACTTTATTTCCTTGACTTGAATAAATATTCCACTTTCTAAAGCATTTCTAATTACTGGAGGCAGAAAGCACTGAAAACAATATCTGAACCACATGTTACAGTCTCCATTTTAAAGATTTATTTGAGAGAGAGAGAGAGAGAGAGAGAGAATGGGCATGTGCACTTACAAGTGCATGGTGGGGGAGAGGGAGAGTGAATTTTAAGCAGGCTCCACACCTAGCATGAAGTCTGATGAGGGGCTTGATCACACCATCCTGAGATCATGACCTGAGCAAAACTAAGGGCTGGAAGCTCAACTGACTGAGCACTCAGACGCCCCTATATTCCCCATTCTGAGGGTCATTGTAACTTCTGGTCTACATAAAGAAATAACACATAGTTCACTAGTCATTAGGGAAATGGATATCAAAACCACATGCCTTTTAAAATGGCTAGCATCAAAAGGACAAGAGATACATGCTGGCAAGAATGTGGAGAAAAGGGGATCCCAGTGCACTACTGGTGGGGATTGTAAAGTGGTGCAGCCATTATGGAAAACAGTATAGAGGACCATGGAAAAATTAAAAGCAGAATTATCATATGACCCAGTAATTTCACTTCTGGCAATATATCCAAAGGAAACAAAAACATTAATTTGGGAGAACATCTGTACCCCACATTCATGGCAGCATTATTTACAATGGCCAAGACATGGAAACAACCTGAGTGTCCATCAATGGATGAATGGATAAAGAAGTTGTGGTACATAAGCAATGGAATATATAGCCAAAAAAATGAGAAAATCCTATCATTGCAACCACATGGATGAACCTTGAGGGTATATGTTAAGTAACTTAGACAAAGAAAGACAAATACCATATGATCTTATATGAGGAATTTTAATAAAATGAAATAAGAAAACAAAAAATCCCAACTCAGAAAAAGATTTGTGGGCAGCCCCGGTGGCGCAGAGGTTTAGCGCCGCCTGCAGCCCAGGGCGTGATCCTGGAAACCTGGGATACAGTCCCACATCAGGCTCCCTGCATGGAGCCTGCTTCTCCTTCTGCCTCTGTCTGTCTGTCTCTCTGTGTCTCTATGAATGAATGAATGAATGAATGAATGAATGAATAAATAAATAAATCTTTAAAAAGAAAGATTAAAAAAAGAAAGAAAGAAAAAGATTTGTAGCAACTAAGATGGAAAATAGGGGTGAGAGGGGAAATTTGAGTAAGGTAGTTGAAAGGTACAAACTTCCAGTTGTAAGATAAGTAAGTACTAGAAGTGTGATGTACAACATGAAGACCAAAGTTAACAATGCTCTATGATATACAGGAAAGCAAACGATTAAAAGAATAGATCCTCAGAGTTCTCATCACAAGAAAAACTTTTTCTTTTTATTGTATGAGATGACTAAACTTCTTGTAATAATCACTTCACAACATGTGTAAGTTAAACCACTTATTGAAGTAATTTAGGTTCCAAAAACCATGAATCAGAGAACATGACTTAGTCAATGCCATTCACAGAATTCTGTCACTATCATCCTCTTCCCAATTCACTAACTGCCCAAAAACCCCAAAGATGGAATTTAAGTCTCCAAAGGGCCAGAGAGTAAATATAGACTTTACAGAACATGTCATCTCTGGCCCAACTACCCAATTACAATTGCACTGTAGTACAGATGCAGCCAGAGATAAAATGTAAACAACTGGATAGGACTGTTTCAATAAAACTTTATTTATAAAGAGACAGCAGGCTAGATTTGGTCTATGGGCTCCAATATGCCAACCTCTGTTCTTCAGGTTCAAGCTCAAAATACAGCTCCTGACTATCTCTTTTTCTAACTCCTCTTAGCATAGAACATAACTTCAAATAATCAGTCCTGTCCTGAGTGAATATGCATATTCATGAAGATATCCTAATTCTATTTAAAGCTATACATATGACAATATAATTATTTAAACCTGGCCTGAAGTCACAGATGAATACCTAATTCTGTTACTCTGTTCCCTTCTCAGACATTAAGAGCATTCTGGTCAGAAGAACTATAGGCCATTCACTTACATACAATAACTCTTGGTTCCTGATTTAAAGCTAACTTATGTAAGGCAATGGGTCCACAGTGGTATTGAATTATGTCCCCCTCAAATTAATATGTTGAAGTCCAAGTCCGTACTACCTGAGAATGTGACCTTATTTGGAAACAGGATTGTTGCAGATATAATTAAATTAAGAAGAGGTCATTAGATGGGACACCTGGGTGGCTCAGCGGTTTGGCGCCTGCCTTCGGCCCAGGGTGTGATCCTGGAGACCTGGGATGGAGTCCCGCATCAGGCTCCCTGGGTGGAGCCTGCTTCTCCCTCTGCCTATGTCTCTGCCTCTGTCTCTCATGAATAAATAAATAAAATCTTAAAAAAAAAGAAAAGGTCATTAGGATGGGCCTCTAATTCAGTATGACTGGTAGGTATCTTTACAGACATGCACACATGGAGAATATTATGTAAAGATAAAGACAGATTATGATGATGCTTCTGCAACCTAAGGAGTGCCAAAGACTGCCAGCAAACCACTAGAAATTTGGGGGAGAGGCTTGGAACAACTTCTCCCTCACAGCCTTCAAATGGAACCAACCCTACCAACACCTTGATCCTGGACTTCTAGTCTACAGAACTCTTAAGACAATAATTTTGTGTTGTTTATGTCACTAAGTTTGTGGTATTTTGTTACAGCAGTCCTAGCAAACTAATACAGTGGTTAATCTGCATCTCTGTATTCAAGACAAGGGGATATTTCACTGATTCCTTAGGCTCTCATTTGAGTTGTGGGCAAAAATGTGCCAACTACAGAATAACTGATAATATTTGTAAAATAATTCAACCTACTCATTATAAGGGAAAAAGCATCGGAAAGGTATGACTAAAATGTTTATGTCTCCAAAGAGTATTTTATAACAACACACAGGATAAGACATAAGAGGGTGCAATCAAAATAAAGGGAACTGTTACCTCTGTCCAATACTGCTGCTTGGTTTCTGTGTCCATATGTGCAAAACCTCCTAAGACAAGAGCCTTCATCAGTGTCCTCTGCACAGGACTTGACAAGAAATTCAGAGGTGGGCTTCGGCTTGCAAACTGCTTAGCTAAGTTCCACCAGTTTTCACACTGAATAACTAAGTTTGCCCTACAGAGAGAAATAACAAAACATAAGATGTGTTACTTACATTGTATGTATACTAAGTAAAAAAAAAAAAAAAGGGAAGGTAAATGAATTTAATTTTTGAAGTACAATATAGTCAACTTGGTATAGGATTTGGAGTCATACAAGTTCGTGCTCAAATTCCATCAGCTGTTGGACAATGTAAAATTTATTTACTGTCTCTTATTTCGTTTCCAGATTTGTAAAAAAGGGGTAACAACAGTAAAAACAGACCTAACTCTCATGGTTAAGATTGATATTATGATTAAATAAAATATCATACATAAAATGCTTGGAATAATACCTAGTAAGTTATTAGAACTCAATAAATAATAGCCAATGCCAGGAGTAGTAACAATCACATTCCTGTATAGTGAGAAAAATGAGTAACATTTTCAGAGTTTGCTGTAGAAAATACTAAAAGCTCTTAACTTACAAAATAATTAAATTATCAGTTCTCATCTTAAAAATGGAATAGAGAGAGGGGGGAGGGGCAAGATGGCGGAAGAGCAGGGTCCCCAAATCACCTGTCCCCACCAAATTACCTAGATAACCTTCAAACAATCCTGAAAATTTACGAATTCGGCCTCAGATGTAAAGAGAGACCAGCTGGAACGCTACAGTGAGAAGAGTCCGCGCTTCTATCAAGGTAGGAAGACGGGGAAAAAGAAATAAAGGAACAAAAGGCCTCCGAGGGGGAGGGGCCCGCGAGGAGCCGGGCTGAGGCCGGGGCGAGTGTCCCCAGGACAGGAGAGCCCCGTCCCGGAGGAGCAGGAGCTGCACCAACCTTCCCGGGGGAAAGGGGCTCGCAGAGGGTTGGAGCAGGACCCAGGAGGGCGGGGATGCCCTCGGGCTCCCGGGGACACTAACAGGCACCTGCGAGCGCAGGGGAGTGCTCCGAGCTCCCTAAGGGCTGCAGCGCGCACCGCGGGACCCGGAGCAGCTCGGAGGGGCTCGGGCGGCGGCTCCGCGGAGGGAGCTGCGGGGCGGGAGCGCGAGTCCAACAGCGCAGGCCCCGGAGCACAGGGCGCCGGGACACAGCCCAGGATCCGGCCTCCCCCGGGACAGGCAGAGGCCGGGAGGGCCCAGGACAGCGAGGACGCTCCTGCCCCGAGCTGAGCAGATCAGCGGCCCCGCCCCGGAGCCTCCAGGCCCTGCGGACGGAGAACCGAGAGCCCCGAGCCCCGTAGTTCCTGCGGAGGCTGAATCCAGGCTTCCAGAGCTGCCATAGCAACTGCGGCTGTTCCTCCTGGGGCCCCACGGGGTAAACAACCCCCGCTGAGCCCTGCAGCAGGCAGGGGCAGAGCAGCTCCCCCAAGTGCTAACACCTGAAAATCAGCACAGCAGGCCCCTCCCCCAGAAGACCAGCTGGACGGACCAGTGATACTCCCCCGTGTTCCAATACAACTTGTTTTTGGCCACTCTGCACTGAGCAAAATGACTAGAAGGAAAACCTCACCTCAAAAGAAAGAATCAGAAACAGCCCTCTCTCCCACAGAGTTACAAAATCTGGATTACACTTCAATGTCAGAAAGCCAATTCAGAAGCACTATTCTACAGCTACTGGTGGCTCTGGAAAAAAGCATTAAGGCCTCACGAGACTTCATGACTGCAGAATTTAGATCCAATCAGGCAGAAATTAAAAATCAATTGAATGAGATGCAATCCAAACTAGAAGTCCTAACGACGAGGGTTAACGAGGTGGAAGAACGAGTGAGTGACATAGAAGACAAGTTAATGGCAAAGAGGGAAACTGAGGAAAAAAGAGACAATCAATTAAGGGACCACGAAGACAGATTAAGGCAAATAAATGACAGCCTAAGGAAGAAAAACCTACGTTTAATTGGGGTTCCCGAGGGCGCCGAAAGGGCCAGAGGGCCAGAATATGTATTTGAACAAATCCTAGCTGAAAACTTTCCCAATCTGGGAAGGGAAACAGGCATTCAGATCCAGGAAATAGAGAGATCCCCCCCTAAAATCAATAAAAACCGTTCAACACCTCGACATTTAATAGTGAAGCTTGCAAATTCCAAAGATAAAGAGAAGATCCTTAAAGCAGCAAGAGACAAGAAGTCCCTGACTTTCATGGGGAGGAATATTAGGGTAACAGCAGACCTCTCCACAGAGACGTGGCAGGCCAGAAAGGGCTGGCAGGATATATTCAGGGTCCTAAATGAGAAGAACATGCAACCAAGAATACTTTATCCAGCAAGGCTCTCATTCAAAATGGAAGGAGAGATAAAGAACTTCCAAGATAGGCAGGAACTGAAAGAATATGTGACCTCCAAACCAGCTCTGCAAGAAATTTTAAGGGGGACTCTTAAAACTCCCCTTTAAGAAGAAGTTCAGTGGAACAATCCACAAAAACAAGGACTAAATAGATATCATGATGACACTAAACTCATATCTGTCAATAGTAACTCTGAACGTGAATGGGCTTAATGACCCCATCAAAAGGCGCAGGGTTTCAGACTGGATAAAAAAGCAGGACCCATCTATTTGCTGTCTACAAGAGACTCATTTTAGACAGAGGGACACCTACCACCTGAAAATAAAAGGTTGGAGAACCATTTACCATTCAAATGGTTCTCAAAATATACCCTAAAAACTATAGAACACTTCTGAAAGAAATTGAGGAAGACACAAAGAGATGGAAAAATATTCCATGCTCATGGATTGGCAGAATTAATATTGTGAAAATGTCAATATTACCCAGGGCAATTTACACGTATAATGCAACCCCTATCAAAATACCATGGACTTACTTCAGAGACTTAGAACAAATTATTTTAAGATTTGTGTGGAATCAGAAAAGACCCCAAACAGCCAGGGGAATTTTAAAAAAGAAAACCATATCTGGGGGCATCACAATGCCAGATTTCAGGTTGTACTACAAAGCTGTGTTCATCAAGACAGTGTGGTACTGGCACAAAAACAGACATATAGATCAATGGAACAGAACAGAGAACCCAGAAGTGGACCCTGAACTTTATGGTCAACTAATATACGATAAAGGAGGAAAGACGATCCACTGGAAGAAAGACACTCTCTTCAATAAATGGTGCTGGGAAAATTGGACATCCACATGCAGAAGAATGAAACTGGACCACTCTCTTGCACCATACACAAAGATAAACTCAAAATAGATGAAAGATCTAAATGTGAGACAAGATTCCATCAAAATCCCAGAGGAGAACTCAGGCAACACCCTTTTTGAACTTGGCCACAGTAACCGGAGAAGGACAGTGTATGTTCTCATTCATTTGGGGAATATGAATAATAGTGAAAGAGAATATAAGGGAAGGGAGAAGAAATGTGTGAGAAATATCAGAAAGGGAGACAGAACATAAAGACTTCTAACTCTGGGAAATGAACTAGGGGTGGTGGAGGGGGAGGAGGGCGGGGGGTGGGGGTGAATGGGTGACGGGCACTGAGGGGTACACTTGACGGGATGAGCACTGGGTGTTATTCTGTATGTTGGTAAATTGAACACCAATAAAAATTAATTTATAAAAAAAAAATGGAATAGAGAAAAAAAAGGAATAATAGGATACCTGGGAAAACTAAAAGATTATTCTGTATTAAAGTGTTTTTAAAACTATAAATTACTAGGGATCCCTGGGTGGCTCAGCGGTTTAGTGCCTGCCTTTGGCCCAGGGCGTGATCCTGGAGTCCCAGGATTGAGTCCCGCATCAGGCTCCCGGCATAGAGCCTGCTTCTCCCTCCTCCTGTGTCTCTCTCTCTGCCTCTCTCTCTCTCTCTCTCTCTCTCTCTCATAAATAAATAAATCTTAAAAAAAAACTATAAACTACTGAATTAAACATGTATGTTTCTTTTAAGATTCTTTAATGCCAAATCCTCAAATAGTCAACACAATCCTCAATTGTAATGAGGGAAAGCTGTATTTGCATTTATAGCAATAATATGATTATTATTTTTTTTAAGTACACTGCTCCAAAATGCAGGGACTATCTGGACCGTAGAACCACGTAACTGCCACTTGAAAGACTACACACACACACACACACACACACACACACACACACAGCCTGCTTCCTATAATCAGCTTACCTTTCTCTTCTTTCCACCAAAGTGACAAGGAGCTGCACAGTGTCATTTGCAAGGTCCTGCTCACTACTCCACACTGAGAGGTTACTGATGACCTTTTGTAAGAGGTAGCCAATAATCCACTGAGAACCTTCTGTATCTGCTCCAAATGCTGTACTGAATGGCAGACTTATCTTAAGAGAGAAAATCAAGTTTTTAAGGTCAGAAAGACCAGCTTCAAAAGAAATCTACATAAAAATCACTAAAATCAGCATCTAAATAAGTACTACTTATTTCACATCATTTTATAAACGTATTCATTTCTGTTAATGTCCAAAAAGGACATCCTCAATCCACTTACATCTTCCAATGCAATTTTTCTGTCAACTTTACAGTCATATTAACATACTTAATGGTATTTATACCAAATACAAAGAACATAAATTAATTCATTCCCAATAATTTATAAATTAATGTGATCTAAAAAAAAAATCTAATGTGATTGCATGCCAGTTCTCCTTAAAGTGGAAGATGTCCAGCTCTTAGTTCCATTTTGATGAGAAAATCACCAAGAAAAATGTTTAAAATGTTCTCATTTCCAAAAGTGTCATCATAAATCCAAACAAAGTCAGTTTTACATTCTGACCTGATCATATAGTTTCTCATCCACCAGGAGATAAGTCTTTGCCCAGCGTTTTAGAAACCAAACAATATCTTTGCCCATTTGAGGGCTTAGTAGATGAGTGAGATCTGCTCTTATTGCTCGAGATTCAACTTCTGAAACTCTTAGAACAGCAGATAACAACCTGTAGGTATAAAAAAGTCATTTATTTATTTATTGACTGTTTAATCCCATTTTTTCTTAAAAGTCCTTTTTCTGTTTTTCAACTCTCTGAATTTGGGCCAGACTATACTTGAAATTTTCATCAACACAGTGGTAGACAAATGTCCCATTTTACTCCTGACCTTTGAGGAAGTAGGAAACAAGAAAAAGTCACACATACAACCTTCTGCGGATATTGTATTGCATTTCCAAGTATCAGCATTACCATCTACAGATGTTTTTCACAATCAAAATGAAGAAAGACACAAAATTAAAAGTTCAGAGTAAATGTTATGTTATTCAGCACTTTGTCACTACTCAAAACTCCCATGGTTAGCAGTTTTCATACATTTGTCATTTTATGGTAGAAGATTTGGAAATTGATTTATCCATAATGCCCTGAATATTGAATCTTATCCATAAATCTGAAAGTCCTATATACTTCCTAACAAACTTGATTCTTAATGGTATTTTAAAATAAAAACTTGCTGAAAAAATTATCTATGTAAGTGTATACTGTCCTCTCCTACACTACTTTTTTTTTTTTTTTAGAAGATTTTGTTTATTTATTCATGAGAGACACAGAGAGAGGCAGAGAGAGACACAGGGAGAAGCAAGCTCCATCCAAGGAACCTGATGTGGGACTTGGTCTCGGGACTCTGGGATCACACTCTGAGCCAGAGGCCAGATGCTCAACTACTGAGTCACCCAGGCATCCCAATGATTCATTGGGCTCTGTGGTGTTGATAACAGAGCATGATATGCAGTTAAGTTAAAAAGTCTTTGTTCTGGGGGTGGGAGTAGGAGAGAACATAATCAGAAGTGATATAGATTTAACTTGACTTTAGCTAAAAGGCAGAGGAAGAAAAGATGTAATTGAAAGAATTCATTTTAACACCATTTTATGGACATCCATGCCAGAACAGGGATTCTAATCATCTGGAGTTTGGCTTCTGCTACTTTTCCTTATTGCTATCAGGATGACTGAAATTATCTCCTTGTAACAAAATCTTATCTTTCAGCTCTTTATCCAACTGGATGTCTTGAAAGTACTATTATTTAGCACTCTGTCTTTTTGAAATAATTTCTTCCCTTGTATCAAACAGGTGGTTTTTAAGTTTCTATCCCCAGAACATCTTTTTTCCCTATATATTACACACTCCCTATATCACCAGTGCTCAAATTTTCAAGAATTATTTTAGAGTAGATGTGAACAAAAAATGACTATGACTTCACAATACAGTTGATATATCAGATTTTTCCCATAAGAATGAATAGTTTTAAATGATAAAACTTGCAGCCTAGTAAAATTTGAATTAAATAGTTTTAATAACTTTCTAAGTTTATGCACAGGAATTTAATTATCAGTGTTCTGATACCCACCATCATCCATTTGAAAAATAAACAAGTTTTTCTTTAACAGCTGGAAACTTTACATTGTTTTTCTCCTTAAAAAATTTTTTTATTTCAACTTCATTCCCCCACAGATTATACTACATTTTAATATTCATTTATTGATAACACCATATAATTCTCTGAAACAAGTATGTCTAGTTATTGAAACATAATTATACAAATTCCCAGTGATCAGAAGACTGTTTTTTTTTTTAAATTTTTTAAATTTTTATTTATTTATGATAGTCACAGAGAGAGAGAGAGAGAGAGGCAGAGACACAGGCAGAGGGAGAAGCAGGCTCCATGCACCAGGAGCCCGACGTGGGATTCGATCCCGGGTCTCCAGGATCGCGCCCTGGGCCAAAGGCAGGCACCAAACCGCTGCGCCACCCAGGGATCCCCCAGAAGACTGTTTTAAAACATCTTTTGGATTATTTATCATTGTAATACTTATTAGTACACAATTAAGCAAAATACAATGCAAATTTAAATAAATTATTAAACATAAAATTTTATGCATTTGTCAATGAAATTAATGTAGCAAGATTTCCAAATTAGCTCATGTATCTGTGAAAAAATATTACTTATTGCAAGAACGAGACAGTTGAGGATAATTTGATTGGATTCCGTTTTTGTTTAAATAGAAATACTGAGAAAACATAAATGGAAAAGCATTTTTAAGATAACAGGGTTCCTCAAATTTTGAACTTCTTCCAAGTTCTATGCTAAAAATCAGAGATCTACCACCAAAAATTATTTTTAATAATCTGTTAAATGACAACTTGATTTCTTCAATGTCATTTAATGCAAAGAGGTGAAAAACCTCCTGACTTATAAAATTACTGGTTATCCATTACTCAGTCATTCACTCCCAACGCCATACTATCTGAAACTGTCACTTTATTTGGCACCCTGTACATTTTTACATACTTGCCTATCCATTACAGGAAGGTTCAGAATGAGTGAGAAATTTTGCTTTTCTTTTATAAAGTGGAAGCAAGGTAAAGAAGAGTAGCACAGGCATTTTACAGGCAGATAAAGCTTCGGCCCCCTTAGCTCTTAGATCTTCACCACCCCACCCCAGCAGTGGGCAAAATCCCATGGGGTTACCTCTGAAAAAAACATCCACCTCTTTCTGTCCTTACTTACTGATGAAAATGCTTCCTAACCTGCCTCGTCATCCTTTAAATCCATCTTCCACGGTGTAATTCTACTACCATAGTTTGATCAGTGCACCTCCCTACTTCCAATCTTTTCTACCATTTACATGTGAGCAACACCAAACTTCCCTTGCTTTAAACGACACTCTCACTTCCAGACCTCTGCCTATGCTATTGTCACGGCCTGGAATACTCTTCACCTTCTGCTGTATGTTGCAAACTCCTTATTCATCCCCCTCAACTGTCAGTTTAAATGCTATCTTTTCCAAAAGCACCTCCTGATCCTTCCCCTGCCAACAGGATAGGTAAACCTAGGTGTTCCTCTATCACTCTTAACAGACTTCTATTATATTCTCAGATCCTGGCACACAGGGGAACTGAAAAAACAACTGATAAAGACATAAATTTTTTTTCGTTACAGTGTAGTTGACATACAATGTTACATTCAAAATATTTTTAAATTGTTGATAATTCCAATTTCTAATCCTATTTTAATTTTTTTTAAGATTTTATTTATTTATTCATGAGAGACACAGAGAGAGAGAGAGGCAGAGACACAGGCAGAGGGAGAAGCAGGCTCCATGCAGGGAGTCTGATGTGGGACTCGACCCCTGGTCTCCAGGATCAGGTCCTGGGCTGAACTGCGCTAAACTGCTGAGCCACCCAGGCTGCCCCTATTTTAATTTCTTAAGTATGCTCTCTAAGCATACTTTATATTTCAGATAGCACTCACAGTCTCCCATACTTTCATGTTAATTCTTTAGATTTTAAAAAAAGGTAATTTTTGTTTTCCAACCCACACCTCAACCCTCCATTCCTCATGGTACTGCCCAGGCAAGAAATGTGACAAAGGAATATAGTACAACAGCATCCTGAAATGAACTGCCTTTGAAATTAATATTTACCATGAATCAAGCCAAAGCAAATGCAATGATTTCTACAAGCACCTAACCTAATGCCTCTAGTAACCCCCAAAAGAAAACTTTTTCAACAGAGCACTGATATTTTATTTCAAACGAGAATAAAACAGTAAAGAAAATAAATTCTCAAACATTTTCTTTATATTAGCTTCACAGTTCATTTTTTTAAAAAAATCTTATTTTCTACTGCACGGGTATAAATGATATCCATGTATTTTTGCATTAAAATTAAAAATGGTAGGGGAGCATAGCACCCTTCTTGAGTTACGGATTTGCAACTGACTGAGGAGGGCACTTGATAGGATGAGCACTGGGTGTTAACTACATGTTGGCAAATTGAATTTAAATTAAAAAAAAAAAAAGTAAAAACAAAAGGTAGTGTACCGACTGTAGATTAGTTTAATTAAATATCTGATGGATGAAATATAATGAGAAGTAAAGCACTGGCCCACTACTGTGGGCTCGGTTCCAGACTGCCACAATAAAGCATATACCATAATTAAAAAAAAAATGCTTTTCATTACTGATATCTCTGCCTGAAACCTAAATTTAAAGATACTGGAAATGTAAAGTGCTATTTTCAAATCCACTTTTAGGAGGATATTTGGTCTAAGGTTTCAAATCCCTCTTTAATTTCACCATTAAGAATTAATGAAAATTTTGCCACCATTACTATGAAGATTAAAGTGAATTCTCATCTGAGATACGCTACTGTCCTCTAACTTCACCTGACAGGTGCCTCAAGTTTCACATATTCAGGACAAATATTTCTATTTTGTAAGGTCAGAATCATAGTTTTCCTTAAGAAATCCATTGAAATGTAATTTTAGCTTTATGAACAAAAAATACTTAATATTCACCTGAGTTCAAGGAATCTTATATACTTTGTTTCATTCATTTAGGGTGCCTGTACTGCGTCAGCACTGCGTTCCGATGGACAAGTGCTATGTTTGGAGTACTTTAGATCAAACGGCCCTGAAAGTCTCACTGTATTCAGAATTCAGAATAATTTTACATTTGTTTTCCTCAGTACAGGATATAACTGTCAGTTCCCACCAGAGTGGCATTACTTAGACATACTGAGTACTCGCCATCCTTGTTTATTTCAAGGCTTCTCCAAGTTTTATTTTCTTTCATGTATCAGATTTACAACGTGCCTAACACTCGAGTCATCTACCCATCAACTCAGAATTTATAAAACAGTATAAATTACAAGAGCACAGCTATAGAGTTCATATTACCTAATCACAGAATCTGTTCTGTTGTACCCTGGGATGGAAGAAGCCTTTTCTCCTGGAGATCCCAAAATTTGAAGTGTTGTATTAATGTCAACTTCAGATGAATGCTTAATGGAATATTCCATTATTTCTGGAGGTATTAGCGGAGTCTCTCCCTGAGTATCATCAGCTAAGAGGTAGCCTTCAGTTTAAAAAAAATTAAAAATGAACACTTAACAAATCTATATTTATCAAATTGCACTATAAATGTTTTCAGTTTTATCTGACTTATATATATCATATTAAGTTGATGTAAAAGTAAATTATAAATGTTAATGATAATCTCACATTTGATGAGAAGAAACTTTCTATTTCTCAGATAATTAACTCAAATACAAAGGACAAAGGATAAATGTTTTATTCACCAATTTTATAATTCATACTGACATGTAGGCTTTTTAATCTACTACTTTTAGAAATTTTCAGTAATATATTCTGTAAACTTAATAGGAATTCTACTATTATCTCTATCAAAAGTCAATATTTGGGAATGCTTTATCAAAAATTAAGATTTTTTTCTTTATTATTTAAAATACAGAAACACTGATAATATGGTTATAAAAGAAGACCCTAACAGTCAGACTGCCTAGATTTGCATTCTGACTCCAAAAATTAACAGCAGAGTGACCACGGGCTAGTTTATTAAAACTCTCTCTCAGATTCTTCATTATAGGGATAATAATAATAAAAAATGTGATAACAGAACTAAATCAGTGGGCTGTCCACATAAGACATTGGGTATGTAATTGGCATTAAATACACGCTAGCCAATATTTTAAAAAAATGCATCCATAGCTCTGTGATATACAGCAGGTGTACTCAAATTTCATCCAACACTAGGTATATACTTTTATTTTTAACATATGAAGCTTCTTCTAACATATGAAGTTTAAAGTGTTCAGTGGCAATTACATTTTAAAAAGAAACAAACAACCAACCTGTAACTAAAATAAGCCAGTGAATATCTTCATACAGATCATCAAGCATTTTGTTGTCAATAGTGCTTGAACCAGGTGAAGCAAGTAATTGCTGCTGATGTCGCTGTAACTGACCATGGAGCCTTGTTACTCTTTCTTCTAATAAACTGAAAGAGGGGGGAAAAAACCCAAAGCTTCATAAAGTTCAATAAGCAAAGATCTAGAACTCATAATTTCCATTTATTATACAACATAAATTAATATGTTAGCACAAAAATACATATATGAAAATATTTATTATAGTACACAACTGTTCTCATAGCAGTATAGGAATTGTGATTTATTGTTTATGACATAGAATTAAAACATTGCTTTACAAACAATCAAGGTTTACAACAGGCATTTGAAAATTGGTTATTCCAAGTTTTTATTGATATGGGTCAAATCATTTCTCATACCATGTTTTCCACAATCTCTCTGCCATCTATGCTGTAGTGCCTGGGCTCCAAATGTACAAGCCAAGGAATGCAATCATGAGTATGTTTCTGTCCATTTGTTCCAGTGTGCTGGGATACGGGGTGGGGGTGTTTAAAGTCTTTAAAAACTTTAAGTGCTCTCCAGGGAATTGTGAATAGAGAATATTTGCTCCATGGGGTTTCTTTGGACTGTGTGTACCTTGTCAGAAGAGGTATACAGTGTTCTGCAGCAATTCTTCCTAGCATTCCTACACTGGCTAGTTGATCTGAAAACTGGTCTCGGTCATCCTCTTGAAGTTCACTTATTTCTTCTTCCTCACGAGAGGCCACACCATTGGCAGTCTATTATTGATGAAAGAAATAAAGAGTAAGGAACTGCATTCCTTTGTTCAGTAAATCATGCATTTCTGTTGTATTACAAAATAACTTCAGCACATCAGATGAAAAGGAGAGACGGACACAGCCAGTCCAGTGGTCTAGGGCCTGCTATCTAACTATGCTGACAATACTAATTGTTACAAAAGAAAGGGGTGGAGGGACATAGAAAAGAAAGAAATGGAGGGTATTACCCCCATGGTATACATATATAAACACAGCAAACTGCACTCACAACCCACCTCCCACACCAGAGAATTGAACCTTGTCACTGAAAAGATCTGACTCCTTAAGATACGTGGTCCTTTATATACAAGAAGTCATTCATATCACTTGACAACTAGGAAGACACAGGTGGGTAACTGAAAACTGAAGAGAAACAGGGTAACTACAAGTAGCATCCACAAAACATGAACTCATTTAGAAAATGGGGCTACTTTTGCTCTCCATCTAGTGATCTCATCAAATCTTCTGAAGAAGTTCCTCCTAAATTTCTAGTATTATACAACGTGTAACAATAAAATAGATGGAACTATGATGAAATACATTTTTACTTACAATCTAGCTTGAAACTTACCAAATTTCTCGTGCCATCTGGAGCAGCGAGGTGGCACTGAATATAGGAATTGAAAACTTGAACTGCGTGTTGGGTAAAAAAGCCTTTATGGAAATGTTTGTCGTCTTGAACCAAAGTTAGCCAGGATTCTAGCAATTTGTCATATGCTTCCATGTATACCATGTCATCTTTATCAAGCTAAGAGAAAAGAACACTCATAAAACAAATGGCCAAAGAAATAAGATGGGAATTATAATAAGAGTTACAGAGTTAGACATATAAATACTTTTATGAGTTTTTCCTTTAGCAAAGGTTCCCAATTATTGAGCTAATTGAGCTCATGTTAAAATTAATCAAACACTGCAGTAAAAATGTGTAGGCTTTTTGTTAAATCTCCCAAAAATCTGTCTAACTTAATATATATAATTCTTGAGCACAAAGGAATTAATGTTTACTTTTTTAGAAGACTAGCTGTTCAATACTTTGTGGAACATGTACTTTTCAAATAAAAATCATACTAAGGGATCCCTGGGTGGCGCAGCGGTTTGGCGCCTGCCTTTGGCCCAGGGCGCGATCCTGGAGACCCAGGATCGAATCCCACATCGGGCTCCCGGTGCATGGAGCTTGCTTCTCCCTCTGCCTATGTCTCTGCGCCTGCCTCTCTCTCTCTCTCTCTCTCTCTCTCTCTCTCTCTCTCTATCATAAATAAAAAAAAATTTAAAAAAATCATACTAACATTTTTCTGTCAAGAGAATTGTTAGAATAAAAATACTAAATGTGTACTTATTATACACTTTTAAATAATTTTATAAAAAGTGAAGGATGATGAAAACAGACTTGGCCTAATCAGCAGATTTAAGAATATGTGGAGAGAACCTCATATATGTTCCTTAACACTTTAGAACAAAAAAGAAAAGGATAAGGCCTTCACAAGGAGGAGCCTGGAGGGGATGCTGAGGCAGAAGGAACCCCAGAAGCATGAGGACTCAAAGAAACCAAAGTATGTGAGCACAAGGGTGGGGAAGCCAAACAGACAGCAAGCAATATAGACTGGAACGGCACTAACAATTATGTAGGCTTGGATACTGACGTTTTTTTTGGTTTCGTTTTGTTTTTACACCACATACAGGTTGTATCCTAAAATAACTTCAAAGTAACGTACTCTGTCCAATTGAGAAGGAAGAGTCTATACATAGTCTATATGGTTAAGGATACCTCTATGGAGCCCAAGGTGTTTAACATAATATTTAACATATCACTTAATTTTCTCACACTCTATCAAGAATCCACATCCCAATTTTGCCATAAATTACTAATCAAGGTACATAATTTAATCTATGTATCCATTTCTTCATCCACAAACTCACTAGATGACTATTCAATGAAACTCAGGATACTTAGTGCCAAGCACCACTGCTTAGTGCAGAAACATAAATAATGTATCCTTCTTTCAGGTTTTCAAAGTTAGTCCAATGGGGAAGGGCAAAAAGCAAAAGAAAATATACTGAAGGCCATAAGGGATAAATAAGCATTTTAGGGTCAGTTTTTAACAACAGTACCTCTCATATGAAGTTTGTTATAAATAAGAGACTAGTTCTGAACTATGTTTATTCTGAAAAAGGTTTGGGTACGATCCATGATTTCTGATATTCTGTTACCAGGCAGTGGACCCAGGAATATTGAAGGTCAACAGGTCTAATTTATAACTTAGCTTTACTGATTTCTAAAGCTAATAGGCCCTCACCCTACAAATGAAGAACTCTGGAACCTTCATCAAAGAGAATCATCTCAAACTGTTATTCCAGCAATGTGTCAATGATTCAAAAAAGAAAAGTAATAGAAGATCTATTTCATGTATTCCAGATTACCCTGCACCCTCAGGTCATATAAGCACCTATGTGAACTGCAACCAATCAACTGTGTTTTTTTATGCCTTCAGCTTTTATTAACCCACAGTATATATATTTTTAAGATTTTATTTATTCATAAGAGGCACAGAGAGAGAGAGAGAGAGAGAGAGAGAGAGAGAGAGAGAGGCAGAGACACAGGCAGAGGGAGAAGCAGGCTCCATGCAGGGAGCCTGACGTGGGACTCGATCCTGATCTCCAGGATTACACCCTGGGCTGAAGGCGGCGCTAAACTGCTGAGCCACGGGCGCTGCCCCACAGTAAATTTTTTTTTAAGATTTTATTTATTTATTTATGATAGACAGAGAGAGAGAGAGGCGGGCAGAGACACAGGCAGAGGGAGAAGCAGGCTCCATGCAGGGAGTCTGATATGGAACTTGATGCCGGGTCTCCAGGATCAAGTCCTGGGCTGAAGGTGGTGCTAAACCGCTGAGCCATCCTTGGGCTACCCCCCACAGTATATTTAAAAAAAAAAAAAAAAAAAAAGCCTGTCATTTTCTGGGTAAAATGAATCTTTTATTTTTTAAAATGATTTATCTGAGAGAGAGAATGTGTGCACATGCACACATGTGAGCAAGCGTGAGGGGGGAGGTAAAAGCAGAGGGAGAGAGAAACTCAACCTGACTCTGCACCAAGCGCAGAGCCCAAAGTGGGGCTTAATCTCATGACCCTGAGATCAGATCTGAGCTGAAACTAAGAGACGGATGCTTTAACTAACTATGCCACTCAGGCACCCCTAAAATGGACCTTTTATTTATATTTAGGATTTTATTTATATATTTGAAAGAGAGAGAGAATGCATGCACAGACGGGGAGCGGTAGGCAGAGAGAGAGGGAGAAGCAGGCTCTTTGTGGAGCAGGGAGCCCAATGCAGGGCTCCATCCCAGGACTCTGGGATCGTGACCCAAGCCAAAGGCAGACACTTAACCAACTGAGTCACCCAGGTACCCCTAAAATGGATCTTTTAAGAAATATAAAAATTTTAAGTCATTTTGTGAAAAATTTACGTATGAAAGGAAAATGAAAAGAATGTCACTGAATCATTTAATAAGGATTTAAAACAGAGCAAACTTTTTACTCTACATTTACTTGGCCTTAAAAGTATATTTACTGGGCATCTGAGTGGTTCAATTGGTTAAGTGTCTGCCTAAGGCTCTGGTCACGATCCCAGGGTTCTGGGATCAAGTCCCACCCTGGGCTCCCAGCTCTGTGGGGATCCTGCTTCTCCCTCTCCCTCTGCCTCTCATTCCCCCTGCTTGTGCTCTGTCAAATAAATAAAATATTTTTTTAAGTATATTTTTAAAAATTAGCAATTCTTTTAATATAACCAACTGGAACTTACTTATCTTGTGAATAGTTGATGCTTGTTATTTGTAGTATTTATAGTCTATAAAGTTGCCACAAACACTGAGTTAGAAATAGGTTAGGTTTCTTCTCTAGTCACTACATTTTCTACCAAATAGAGATGAACAGATCAATGCACAACCTTGTTTTATGCACAACTTAGTTTTATGTGTCTTTCCGTTTACAGACATCTTAATATACATTGTTCATTTACTAATAATGAACTAGTGGCCAATGACACTATTAATTCATGCCTGAATGAAGCTTATCTAATTCATAGCTCCATAAGGCACAACACAGCCTTCTTGCACACAGAACACTAGAGAGCCCTTCAGCAGAGCACTCAGAGGCCATCTCAAATACTGATATTGTCCAGGCAGTCAATGCTAAGGAAGAACTTCAACACGTTTTGACAAAAATTTAGAATGCCTCATTTCACACAAAAATGCAAAAAATGCAGCACGAGAGAACATGAAAATTTGTTTACAGTATGAGGCTAAGACAGGAAGGCAGAGCATTTGCCTTGTTTGACCTCAGCGGGGAACAAGCATGTCAAGCAATTCCTATTTTTCATTGCATGCAAACATCCATGAATTATCAAATAGAGTTTTAGCAAGGGGGAGAATTTGCAAACAAGGATCTTGTGTATGAGGAATGACTATACTTGTAAAATCTCTAAAAGATCCTAGCTTACTGGTTCTTCTTGCTCAAGTATCATCAAAATGCATTACACTTTTGAAAACTTTCATAGCTCATAATTTTTTGAAGGACAGCCATCCATATTCTTGAACATATTCATTTTGATTATAAATACCTATGAAAGTAATTAATTCAACCATTTTTTTTCATTTCTACATCATTTATTTCCTTCCAACCACCTTTGTACATACTGCTTTCAGCACTAACATTATAAACTATATTAAGTAACTTCTGTGGCACAAACATTAAAAAAGATGAAAGAATACTGTCAACAATATATGACAGTGTAAACTCCTATCACAAAATATTTGGTGAGGTTTTTCCTGTGGAATGACTAACTGGATGGGAATGCCCTATTTTCCTGTTGTTCTTGGAAAGACATTTGTTTGCTCGTGAGCTGATAAATTTGAAAAAGTAACCTTCTAGTCTGCATATCACAATCGCTCTTTTTCTCTAATCTTGACTTTCTACTCTTATTTCTGATGGTCTCTTGAAAGTTTTAAAGGAATATTTCATTTTAAATGCCACCAGAAATCTTCTATGAAGCAAACATTATGAAAAAATAATCTCTAATATAGTTTCACTGCTATGCTTATCACCTCTTCTCTTTCCTTTCAGAACACAGCCATCCTTCTAAGGCCTGCCTAATGGAAGAGCAGCTGTGACAAGTGGCCTAATGTAGAACAAGACAGTATTTGAAGAGTTAACTGAACATGAAACTGACTTAAGAATGTCTACTTAACTGCAGAGGCAGATGGTGATTTATATGTAAGAATGTTTGCTGCAGAACTGCTTAAACCCATGTCAACAAATTTATGAACCATTTCCCTAATCATGATTTCTAACACTAATTAATAAAATGAAAAAATGCTCATAATAACATAAAGTAATGATTTTTGTTTTTATTTAAGCCTAATTGGTATGCCTTAAAATTTGGGAAAAAACACATTAAAACATTAATAGTTAAGTTTCAGAAGGTCATTAGTCAAAAAAAAATTTTAAAACAGTTATTGAATATTAAATGCCCATAATTAGGGGGGAAAGGTATTTATAACCCTATGTGACTCAAGAGATGCCAAGAAAGTGATAAGTAATGGGATCTTTTTTTTTTAAATTTTTATTTATTTATGATAGTCACACAGAGAGAGCGAGAGAGGCAGAGACACAGGCAGAGGAAGAAGCAGGCTCCATGCACCGGGAGCCCGACGTGGGACTCGATCCCGGGTCTCCAGGATTGCACCCTGGGCC